TGACATGATATATTAAAGAAGATTTGGTGTTTTGCAATTTTACATTCCATCAACATGTGCATGTGTTGGTTGCATCTTTGTGAGTATATATATATATATATATATATATAGGTAACTATACTCATCTCGAAAAATCTTCGAATTTTTGATTTGCCAATAATCAAATCAATCTTGAAGGAAAAAAAGGTTTTAAAAAAAGAAAGAGCCAGGAACATGAAAGTCTGTTGAAAAAATTGCACAGATACAGGTTTAAAGCCCAAAGAAAAAAAACCGACATGAGTAAACAACTAACTAACAAAAGAGCTCAATACAACCATAGAACAGACCTAGTCAGACCTAGCGAGCCAGACAAACCTACCCAGGTTCGACTATATATATATATATATATATATATATATATATATATATATATATATCAAATATGTGGTGCAGTTCAATTTATATTACATGAATCATTCATACAAAAAGTAGATTAGTAAAGTTAGATCCAGGTAATAGCGGACATGAAAAATTAAATGCGAATCGAAATATGTTTTTGTTAGAAATGTGTTATTTTTTAACAGATAAAAACTCATGGAGCATGCAATCGCAACACTAAAGTTGAATTTTTTGAAAATTTAAGAGAGTAATACTAATATGGTAATTTGAGAATTTTTTTGTTGTAGGAGTTTTTTCAGTCAATGTGGCATGAACTAAATTGTTCAATAAATAGAGTAATGTCGCAGCTGTTATCCCAAAAATTTGCACGTCGGAGCAGTTCTTTTTAAATCAAATATGTGGTGCAGTTCAATTTATATTACAATGAATCATTCATACAAAACGTAGATTAGTAAAGTTAATGATATGAATGGCGAAAAACCTCTTCGCAAACAAATTTATTAAAGTTGCATTAACCTACGAACCACTCGATTAATGTTATGATCCTTGTTTTTAATAACTTCAAGTTGTATAAGGTCTTTTTATCTTATTTGCTAGTACTTTCAGCTGTACATTCAGCCATCCTCAGGCATGGAAATTATTTTGTTTTTTTAGTAGATCCAGGTAATAGCGGACACAAAAAATTAAATGCAAATCAAAATATGTTTTTGTTAGAAATGTGTTATTTTAACAAATAAAAACTTATGGAGCGTGCAGTCACAATGCTAAGGTTGATTTTTTTGAAAATTTAAGAGAGTGCGTTTTTTTACTAATATGGTAAATTGATAATTTTTTGTTGTATCCGTTAAAAATAACAACATAGCCAAGGGCTTGAGCATGCTGGCCTTGTTCAAATTGTTGTTCATGCTAGATAACATGCTCCTTCCCAGAAACTGTAACTAAGGTCTGCTCAGCATAGTTGTAGTATAAATCACAGGTGGGGTTTGTGGGTATTGAATAAACACAGATGTGCCTGAACAAACGTCTGCAATAGGGATTGGCTAGAAAACCCCCACCCCCACCCCCAGTAGACAGGTATCCTCAAATACAAGCAGCCAGTTATACATATGCGTGTGTGTGTACAAGTATATGTTTTAATATAATTGCTTTCTTTGTCATTGTACTTAATTAAATGTGGAATATTAATAACATCAAGCAAAACATTTTACAGTGAAAATTTCAATAATAGTTGCATGTCAGGCTGTGGTCTATCTATCTATCTATGTATCTATATATATATATATATATATATATATATGTGTGTGTGTGTGTGTGTGTGTGTGTGTGTGTGTGTGTTTTCAAGCAAAATTTCTCCTGTCATAGGTCCCTGAAAGTTTTTCATTTTGTATCCAAACTTAAACAAAGAGATTTTTAGAATTAAATTTTTATTAATCCAACAGATTTGTGTCTTTGTGCATGCATGTGTTTGTGTACATGTGAATATGTGTGTGTACATGTGCACGTGTTCGTACATGTGTATGTGGGTTTGTATATGTGTGTGTGAGTTTGTAAACATGTGTGTGAATGTGTGTGTTTATGTGTGCATATGAATGTTAAAAACACTGGCTCTCATTTAATTACCAGGGTTAAGCAGTGTCAAGCCTGTTTAGTATTTAGATGGGGGACCGTTTTGGACCACCAGGTACTGTAAGCAGCCTCTTAGAATCCAAAATATGTTTTAGCTTTAAATAACTCCCAATGGGTTGATAAACCATAAAAACCAAATCAATCACTACATGTCTATGTGAATGTATTTGTAATGTGTGCATGTGTAAAACAGTTAGAAAAAGGGACAAAGAAAAGAAAGCACAGTAGAAGAAAAAAAGCCAATAAAGAAAAAAGAAAATGGATTAAACTGAAAAGAGTAAATCACCGTGAAACAAGAATTATGTTCGGAGGACAAATAAAGGAAAGTAGATGAAAAAATCCATAATAAAAATGAAAAGAAATGAAAAATGAGGAGAAAATTTTTGATCTTTAAACAAATATGTTTTAATCCTACAGATTCCTTTGTTTTTGTGTTGCCATTAAAATCTTCCAAATCTTTCTCTTCCAAACACTTGCGAGTTGCATCCTAATTTAATATTTGCTTGACAACCAAAGATGGGGGTGAAGCATAAGTTTTAATGCTTGGATCCAGCTAAAAGCTTTTAGTTTTGGAGTGTTTGGCTTGAAGATTTTAGTTTATGAATACAAGTTAAAACTTTTAGTATTCAAGTATAGATCAAATGTTTTAGTGTCAAAGTAAAATTCAAAGCTTTTAATATCTGTGCACAGGTCAAATTGTTTAGTATCTGAGTACATGTCAAAACTTGTCAAGTATATGGAAAAAATGTTAGTGATCAAGTATAGATTAAATGATTTAGTGTCTGAATACAGGTCAAAGCTTTTCATGCTTGTGTACAGGTAAAGGCTTCTAATGTTTGATTTCAGATTAAAACATTTAGTATCTGTCTCTTGGGAGAAGCTTAGATTTTGAATGTTAATTTCCCAAATTTGTATGCTTGCAATTCCTCAGAGGATTAGCATTGTACATCTTTCTTACTTAATTATTCTACAGATAAAGTGATAGGAGCACATCTAGTTTTCCTTTTCCACTTTTTACATGCAATATCACTTGTAAATATATAACAATTTAGAAAAGAACTTTTATGTTGACATGTTTCTCAGATCAAACAGTCCCATCAAAAAACATTATTTCAACTAAATCTACATTATTACAACAAATATATGATTTATGTTAAGTACATGAACAACTGAAGTTTTTAGTAAAATTGCATTTCAAAATGTAAAAAATCAAGCATTCAAATTCTTAATGTATATCATGTTCTGTCAAAATAGTGTAAATTTAATTGAAATAATATCCGTTTTTCCAATGTTTGATCGACAAAACATAACAACATAAAACTTCTTTTATAAATTGTCATATATTTACAATTTCATCAGATTCTACCAACAAATTTAAATTACATATATACACAACAGTTCAAAAGTTTGAGGACATCCCTGGTAATTTTTTAAATTGACCCAAAAAGTAGTTGTTTTCTACTTTAAATAAGAGAAAATTATAATACATGGTTAAAAGAAAGTGAGACATGATTTTTTTATTAGAAATTTTATTATGACACAAAGAAAAAAAAGTATTTTATGATTAAATTTTGCTCTCGTTAAAATATCCTCCTTTAGCCTTGATTACTGCAGCACAAATTTTAGGCATTTGTTGCAAAAGTTTCTCAAAGTATAAGTTTGGTAATTGATCCTTTTTTCAATGATTCTAAGAGCATTTTTCTATTATTTTTTTTTTATTCTTCTGTCAAGTTCATCCCATGTTAATTCTGGGGTCACTTCAAACTTTTTGCAGTGTATATATATATATATATATATATATATATATATATATATAAATATATATATATATATATATATATATATATATATATATATATATATATATATAATACAATATCAATACATCATCTTTGTTTATATCTATTTAGGTTATTTTCTTCACTGACCTTATTGAAAAAGTAACTGGCTGGCAGTTCAAGTAAACCTGTTTGCCAGAAAGGCTAACTAATCCCCATCTGCTGAGGCAGAATTGGGTTTATTTAACCCCACAAAGCTAACCTGTGGATTATACAGAAACTATGCTAAGGAAACCTTAGTTACAGTTTCTGGGAAAAAAAACTATGATTAGCACTTTTGAAGAAGGCTTATACAATCAAATCATTGGTCCCAGGGACTTGACGGTTCATGCCAGCATAACCATCAACCGGTTCTGAACAATTCTGATCACCCAATTTCACTCACAAGGCTTAGATAAACCTTTTGTAATGTTTTCAGGCACTTCTCAATGAAGCTGTATAATGAGATAGCCTTCTTCTTTCTATATTTTTATATCACTTTTCCCAGTTATGGGTTAAATTAAAGTTAGACTCAAATCTATAGCCTTGGATGGAAACTAGTCTAAAAGAAAATTCTGAATGAAATGTGGTGAAAGCAATGAGAAACTACTCTATTATCTTTCCCAAGAAGTCATGGCCATTCATAGATAATAAAAAAGGAAGCTGTGAAGCGCTACAAATGCCTATGTCCTGAAATACCATGGAATCTTTAAAAAATGTCTTTTTCAGTTCTTATCTTAGCATTTTTTAATTTATTTCCATATTCCTTTTTCATATCCATTTTATTTTATTCATTCTTCACTTGCTGCCTAAATGCATCGTTCTTCATATGAATTGAGTGCTATGGCAGCCAGTATGACATTTATATATAGCACGTATATAATACATTTAAAAAAAATTCCCTTTCTCTGCTGTGTGCCGATAGCTTAGGGATAAGAGTCTCTGACTGATGTCAAATCGGTGGAGTTTTGATCCCAGCTTGAAGCAATCGGATGTCTAGCCACACTGATGAGTTGTCATACAGCGAAACAGGCTATCTGTGGATGACAATATGAATACATCTATCTATCTATCTATCTATCTATCTATCTATCTATCTATATATATATATATATATATATATATATAGATATATATATATATATATATGTAGATATATCAGCCTGTTAAGTATCACAGTCTATCTATCTATCTATCTATCTATCTATCTATCTATCTATCTATCTATCTATCTAAGGTTTGTTTATTATTTATCTATCTATTTATCTCCGGTCTGTTCATTATCTATCTATCTATCTATCTATCTATCTATCTATCTATTTTTATTGATTATAAACAGTGAGAAGGCAGCTTCTCAAAGATTTAATTGAATGTGGTCTGAGGCACAATCCTGGAGAAGTTGCTCAACATTCATTAGTTGGGAAATGAGTTTGGAAGTTCTTATTATGAAAACCTGCACTTAAAAAGCTTCCATTGAGTTTTACCTGAGTGGCTTTTGTGAAATCCTCTTTCTACAAGCAAAACCAAATTGAAGCCAAACATCAGCAAAGAAAATAACAATCACCTCCAAACTATCGGACTACCATCACCCACCCACTTTGCCTCCCTTGGAGAAACTGAGACCACAACATTGGTATTCTAGTCTCAACGGAAACAATCTCCAAGACTCCAAGTGTTTGATGCCCTGTGAGCTTCTTCCCAAAGTTCAATTCTTCTCAAAGCAAAAGATTCTTTCTTTTAGATTTGGAATGCTGCCATATTCACTTGGTCATGCAGTTTGCCCACAACTGTTCAAGTTTGAGAAACATATCCTACCTTAGCAGAATATGATTTGGCTAAGTGCCAATGACCAAACTCTATATACCATGTGATTCCACTGGCAAACATACTATTTGTTTTCTGGCCCCTTCAATAGATCTCTATAACTGTTTATCATATGTAATGCATTTCTCAATGAAATACATATATATGTGTGTGTGTGTGTGTGTGTGTGTGTGTGTGCATGATAAATATAAATAATATTGAATAAGACATGATTACAGCCACAAATTCTTCTCGTTTTCTTTATTCTCCCATTTCTGTTTCCTTTCAGATTCGTTCCTTTTTCTTTTCCTCATTTTTTTCTTCTTTCCCTTCTCATCCATCTTCTGTCTTTCTTATTTACCTTCCTGTCCTCTTCCTCTTTTTCTTCACATCTTCATCTTTATTAATCTCTCTTTCATTCTTTTCTTCTTATTCTTAATCCTGTTTGTTTTCATTTTCATATTTCTCTTTTTTCTTTCCCTTTTTTCTTTCCCTTTTCTCTTTTTTCTTTTACCATTTTCTTACTCTTTCTCCTTTTCTCTTTTTCTTTTTCTTTTATTATTTCTCTTTTCTGTTTTCTCTTTCTATTTTTCTTTTCTCTTTTTCTTTTCTCTTTTTTATTTTCTCTTTTTTATTTCATTTTTCTTTCACTTTTTCTTTTTCTTTCTCCTTTTCTTTCTTCTTATCTTTGCTTCAATCTTTTCTCATTTCCTTTTTTCTTTTCTCTTTTTCTTTGTCTTTTCTTTTTGTCTTTCTTCTTTTCTTTTCTCTTCTTCATCCTCTTTTTATTTTTCCTTCTCTTTTCACTCTTCTTTCCTCCTTTTCTTTCTCTTTTTTCCCCTTTGCAAACTGTTTAGCATACTTCCTCATTTTCTAGTTCTTTTTTCTTTTCATTCCATTTTTTGCTTTTTTACCTTCATATTTTTTTCTTTTTCCTCTCCCCTCTATTTTACTCCAATATTTTCTACATCTCCTCCCCTCCACTTCTTACTTTGTCTTCTCCTAACAAGTGTCATTCACATCTTTTAGCTAAAGCAAAAATACAAAATAAAACTCCAAGTATTATTGATGTGAGTTCCTTCGACACTCCATTTATGATTTATTTGTTTTCTTTCCCAATGTTCCAGGCAACAATGCAAACCTTCATTTCCCTGACCCCCACCCAACAAATCTATCACACTTATTCTTTATATAACCCATTCATCTCCTATGCCACAAGTCTGTCTCCCACTAAGAATCATATATTGTTTATATTTTCAGCTATTTTTGTTTACTTGTTCTTTTGTTTTTCATTGAGTGGAATGCTTCTATCTCCATTCACAACTAATCTAAACAATCTGAAAAGGTGACACTGCTCCCATGTGCATATGCATGCGTATGGGCCCCCCACCTTAATGTATTCTGCCTTAGTGGGAGATCAGGTAAATAATGCTTCCTAAGTAAAGAGATTCAATCTTCATGTAAAAACAGCAAGGTTATCTGGTTTGTCAGGGTTAATATGTTTTTGCTAAAAAGCCATATTTACAAACGTCTTAGTAGAAAAATAAAAACCCTTGACAATGGCTTGCATAACAGCTGAGTTAACTATTACACTATGTGTATAATTATTTATATTATCTACACTAGAACTATTCTCCTCATCTTTATTGTTATTTTCACAATGTTTCTACTGTTAATCTCTCTGACCTTCATCAGGTAACCTTCAGGGAATTTTAAACTAAACCCTTTATTCAATCTACATAATCCATGGAAGAATATCCTAGTGTATTAAAAAGTTGGTTCTTGAATTTGGGGATTTAATTCATTTAAATAATTCAAATAGAGATTCTTTTTAGGCCACCATAGAGGCTTGGATATTGACTAAAAACCCTCGAGTTTAAACTTGATGGAACGTACACTCAGATGCTGAGAGCTATACTTAACATTTGAGACAACATCCAACTAAATTACAGCTCTATGGACTTGAGGCGAATGAAGAAAACAGTAACCAGCGAGTAAATTCAAGCTCTCCCAGCTGGTATTTCAAACTTGAGTCGTTCCTTCCTGAGTTCTGTCTCAAAATCACACTAACTGCCCGTTTCTAGCCGTCAACCGTGAACGCCCCTTGAAGAACTTCTAGCCGACTTGGAAAAAGTAGTTGTTTTTTAGTTGTTCATGTACCCATAATCCCTTGCCTCTTCCTGTGATCCCATAATTCATTGCGTCCATGTCCCATAATGCATTGCGTCCATGTCCCATAATGCATTGCATCGTTATTGGATAAAAATGCGATGCCAGTCCCCTCATTCTTTTTACATTATCTGGCCGAGGATGGATTACGCCAGAGCGGTAAGTGCTTTTTTTCTCTCCCTCATTTCAACTGCAGTAGCTTTACATGCTAAGCAAATATGGGCTCTTTTTGGCGGGGACAAGGCAAGTCGCGACCAGTTGTGCTTGTCCCAGGTTCTGTCTCATGTCCGCCACACTCCCCTGATCTCCTGATCACACAGATGACAGTGAGGATACGGTCTTTTGTTCCGGTGCTCCTCCTGGGGGATTGGTTGAACTTCTTCATCAGAGGAGCTCTCATTAGACACGTCGATCTATTGGCAAACTACTGCTATCGGGTGATTGGTTGTTGAATCCAACTCTATGTATATTGGCTGGTCACTATCCTCCGTGTCTTCTTCGTCAGTTGTGGGATTTGAGCCCAAAAAAAGGCGCAGGTCTCTAACATGACGAGGCGTTCCATCGACCACGCGACTGCTGACTCACCACCTCGGTCACACGTCCGGTTCGAAATTTGGTCGTGCATTTACCACGTGGAGTCTTAACCCAGACAATGTCCCCTTCCTTGTATTCCCCTTGATTATTTGTGATTCAGGGGGGCGCGCGTCGATGCCTCTCACCCGGACGTGTATGTGTGCAGTACATCGGCGGTGCCGTGGAAGGTGAAAGGTTGTCCTTAGGTGTGACGTTATGCCAGTAAACCGCTTCCAAGACTGAACAATTTTCCTGGCCGCTATGGTTTTGACGGCTTCTGTGGTTGCGTTCCACAATGCCATTTCAGATGGCACATAAGCGCACCGAACCTCAAATGCACGCCCAGCTGTTTAAATTCCCCTAAATTGTCTGCAAGTGAACGTGGTGTCATTGTCAGTCAGTATTTCGGTCGGCGGGCCTCGTTCGTAGAAGACTGTCTCTAGCTGACGAATGACACCAGCAGAGTCTTGCCGTCTCAGTGGCCGCCATACTGCAAAACGGGAGGACCACAGTCAATGGCGTAAGAAAATGGCTACCATTGCAATGGGTTACGTCCATTGCTAACCTGCTCAGTTTTTCTCACACTCAAATTTCCTTTCTTCCAATGCACTGGTGCTGGATCGATCGATTGGCAGGCTTCAGGTTCTAACGACAGATTTTACCAGTTCCTTAGACACCGTTGGATCTACAGTCCTAGCAAAAGTACATTGTTCTTTTAACACCTGGGTGCCCACTCTGCTGGTGGATGTGGGTCACCTGACGTTTGCTCAACTGGCTCGTTGCAGTGACACAACTCACTTGCACCGGCTCTCCTCCTTTCTTGTGCATCTCCAACCAGCGTTGCGGCACTCTGGTGAGGCTGTCAGCGCGGTTCTGACAAGACGCACCAACGTCACAGTCATAGTCAGTGCGTACTCCTCCACCAAAGCTCGCAGTGTCTCTAGCGCCGCCTAATCAGCATTTCACCCGCTGCCTTCGTGTTCACGCGCGCGTCCTTCCTGTCAGAGTGTCAGACACCCACCGATGCACATGCTGAATCGGTGACCACATGCATAACTGGCGCCTGCCACTGCAGGCAAAGATTCACGCCCTTGATCACCGCATCAAGCTCAGCAAGATTAATGTTTTGGCATCATTGGTTGGACACAACCAGCAAGCATCTTCCACGACGCTCCCATTCACCTCTAGTGCTACTCCGTGTACGGAGCTTGCATCCACCAAACTGTCATTTCATTGCCGTTCACACCAGTCTCCGCCGACAGGATCTGATTCCCACCTCTGGCCTGTTTCCTCCAGCATACGTCCAAGAGGGGCATCCTTTATCTCGTCGTCCCATCCTTTGGTTAGTGTACTTGCATAACGCTTAATAAATGCAGTTGCCACCCTAAACCAACCGCACACAAAAGGAAATGACCCACAAGTTTCCCGCACAAGGAAAATACGCTTCGGCGGGTCACCTTTTTGAGCAATTTCTGGAACTTGACCTCCCCGCTTCCATCGAAGGTTGCTTTCTTCCCAGACTTGCAGACCCAGGACCTTAGTTCCGTCTCTCAATCGCTCCGG